ACAGAGGAACCCAATATATAGATATTGGAGCAGTATACCTCTAAATTATAGTATGCCTCTAGTATTACAGGTGTTCGTAGGCTACGGTAACCACTAACCATCAGGTGAGCCGTATGCTTGTTTTCCACTTCAGTGGTATAAAAAAAGTACTGATTTTTACCCATGCCTAGTGGGAATATGTAATTATTGCTTATGACGATCAGTTTTTGTGATTAGCAGCGAGAGAATGAAATGTAATGATTGGGACTTAGAGTATAAGAAATATAAGCAAGGATTAAGCATTTATGGTAAAAAATTCAAGTTACAAAGATTTTAAATCATGCATCATCACCTTTTCAAGATCTGGACATCGTCGACATAAAATCTCAAATATTTTTAAGAACCCTAAAACCACTATAAAATTTTACAAAAAATAAAATAAATAAAACTTTTGATTGTCGAGAGCCAAACCATACGTATTCAGTGCCCATTGTTTGATTGTTCACACAGAAGTTACGTATATACCTACTTGGCACTTTTCAAAAGCATGGCATCATAATCTAAGCATGGCATTTACGGGTAAGCTTCTGGAGGAGGTAAATTTGTCATGTCATGGTATTATACAACTGTCAACGAGTTACGTACATGTAGAAAATACTACCTCTCTACTTACCATGAAAGTTTGTTTGAAATACGGGCTTGACGTTAGAATTATGAAAGAAATTCTAAAGACTAGTAAATTATTTGTACACTATATACTTAATCTCTTCTCCCCATTAAAAGTACATTAGCCTTATACACAGCATGACTATAGTAATGCTGACTAATAGAAATATTTGAATTTAGAACTCGGAATCGTTTATCTAAAAGTATTTATAGGTTTTACTTCGCAATAAGCAATTTAGTTCCGCAAAGGCCAACAGCAGCTTAAAGAACTCACATGGAAGTAGTAATTTGTATAATAAAAACGGTTCAGAATTTGCGAAGATATTATGTATATACACATAAAGAAGAACATAGATGAATTGAGAACAATTCTTTTTGGAGTCGACTAAAATGCAATAATATGTTTATCAAAGCACTTAAAAAGTAGTTTTGGTTCATAATTACTAGTTCTAACTGTTAAATATGTTTCTTGTTGGTGTAATATGCATATTACAGAGCGCAAGGCTAACCCGCTCTCTTATTAAGATATTTGATAGGAATAATAAATATTTGTATATCTACTGTAGCAAATATATATTACCTACTTGTATATGTATAGGACATAATGACCAATATTTATGTAGTACCGAGATAAAATTAGGTTTAAAATTCAAATCTATATTGCGACTTTTTACATTTGACTATATCTATTATATTATTTACATACCTAATTTTTGTATTAGATATACATATAAAACGTGTAACAAAGATTTTTAGACGTTCTTTCTGTAATAAAAAAAATCCTGTACAACATAATTGACTTAATGACGATAATCAATTTTGGAGTTGTTAGACAACATAACTATGTCATTTCTATTTTATCACTATCAATCATGACAACTGTATATCCTGTGCGGTTCAGCGGTAGATCCGGTAATTCGTTTGCATCAAATAAATTGTAGGTATTATTGAAAATTGTCAAATATCACTCCTATTATATTATATTATTGGTAATTATTATTCTTGACTATTTAACTATTTACTTGTCTTAGCTTTCTTGATAATTAGAATTAAATATCGTTACCACTCACATATCGTATCCACAAGAATTAACTACGACGGTTTTCAAGGAAAACCACGAGGCAGTTGCTAGATTCTATTTTATTAACAAACCCTTTCCCCTCTATATTTTTTAATTAGGTACCTAGTGCAAGTATAATATAAGTTGACGATATGTATTTAATTTGCATTCTGAAGATAAGATATCCTTATTAATATTATGAACACAGGATTTTGGTTTATCTACATCCAAAATCCACGCCTACGAAAACGCGTCAAAAGCTAGTTCATAATATTAAAAAAGTATATACATTTTTGCTTGAAACCAATGAAATAGTCTACTTGTATTTGGACTATGAAAATAAAAAAAACTAGTTTAACTTTCAGGAACTGTGAAAACATACATACGATAAAAATATAAAAAAAAAATTGTCTTGACTTCTATTGTACTTATAGTAGTTTTTTATGAATATCTCCTATAAATTGTATGGACTTCATCTGGTTAAAACTTTATTATATGTACGAGTATAAGTATATTTACCCAAAGTGACAATGAGTTTGTTATTACTTCTTAGAGCCAGATATGTAAAAAATTGTTCAGTAAAAGTATTTAAATACAAAATGCAAACGCAAAGTTGTTAGCACTATTTCAAATAGAAATACAATACAGTTTTAAATAAAAGTATTTAAATACAAAATGCAAAATACGTATTTTCAAGATACAATGACGATGACAACACTACGATCACGATCAGTTCGTTCACAAATGAGGTAATCTTGGATTTAAGAATGAAAAATTGGAAAATTGAATTAAAAATGTAACAAAACTATTTTGTATTTTATAAATAATAAATATTTATATAAAGTATTTCAAATAAAATACAAAATACGTTTAGAAAAAAAGTATTTCAAATATAAAATAATTCACATCTCTGCTTAGAGCTTTAATTTTTAAAACTAGTCGTTAATAAATGAGATACCAAAGCTATAATGACAGTGATATTATAATAACAATTTCTACTCAACGCAGAACTGTAGATATATTGATAGAACACTCGTAAACAAATATGTTAATTCATATGTCTATACATACGTTCGGTTGTAAGAGTCATGTTAATCAATATAGCTTACTGTCAACGCTGTTTTAAAGAGCAGTGATTGTAAAATTGGAAAACAAGTGCCGCCCACCTTATGTAAGGTGAAAATGAGGTTACATGGTCATGTCAGCGGTGCATACTAACGTGTAAGAATTATCATTGAGAGAAACAGACTGTAATTGAGTATCAAAGGTACCGAACAACCAACGAAATATTCGAAAGAAATAATCAAATTTAATAAAAAGTAGGGATATATGTATTTATATTATTATATGAATTTCATCTCTATATGTATATAAATATAATATAATTTTCAATGTGCCAATCAATCAAACTGTTTATAACTAGGTACTCCTCCCTATTCAATGTCTGGAAGAGATCGCTTTTGGCGATAAGGTCGCTCATTGTTTTCTCAGTGTGAAATATTTCTAGTAATTGTTTGTATCTATCCATAATAAGCTTACTACTGTAATCTTTTGGAGGAAATAATCTATCTATATATTGTTTTCATTTAATCGTGTAATTAATTTAATTTCTATGTGCATAATGGTAACAGAACATCGTTACACATTTTATTACACGTTGAACGCAATCAAAATCTCGATAATTGTAACAAAGAAATCATATAATTGTTACAATTATATGGAAAATAGATTGCTATTTTCTATAAAGTTACCTACTAGCGATTATACAAATAGACTATTTTTTATGTAAAGGATATATAAAAATTTTACTCAGTATATTCGGGAAACTCTAAAACGTTTTTATCTAAAATACTTAAAATTGTAAGGAAAAAGTTACTACTACTGACAACAAAAGTATAAAAGAAAACATGCTAGACAAGTGTAGTTTTTAACCCTTAAAAGCCTGATTTTTTAAATCAAATTAAAAAATATATAAATGTACCCTTTACTGTGTTTACTAATGGGAAAAAATAGTATAAAAATTAAAACGATATTTTTATATATTTAATTTGAAAAAAAAAAAAAACATTTGGTAACATGTAAACAGCTAAATATTAAAATAAAATCGATTGTAGACGCCCAATGCAATTTATAACCCCGGTATCAAATTTGAAACTTCAGGTATTTAAGGGTTAATGAGGATAACAGATGATTAAGGGTAAATGGAATGGTAATAATGTATAATAATAAGACCATCCAATGAGAGATGGATCTCCGTAGAGGTATATATATATATATATATATATGTATATTATTATAAGTATCTAATTAGGTATTCTTGTTAAGTGCAATAAAAGTTGTTAACCCACTAGCGTGACGACGATTATGTTAAGTTGTATGTCACTACGATACGCGGAAATAGCACGTAATACAAGTTAACTTTCATTCAAGTTTTATTTATTTAATATTACCTTTTATTACCCGCGACTTCTTCCGCGTGGTCGGGATATGTTTACTGACCGGGATAAAAAGTAGTTTATAATCTCCTCCATTTCATACAGTACGTGTATATAAAATTTCATAGTGATTGGTTAAGCCGTTAAGGCGCTTTAATGTAACAGATAAACTCACTTTCACATTTATAATATTAGAAAGGATAGTAGGGATTGAAAGGGAATCATCAATCATGACATAGCAAGAAATATATAGGTCGTCTGTTTTAATTTTAGATTATACTAAGCGTATGGTTTTACTAGGAATTAATGAAAAGGAAATTAAAATAGTGACGAATCGAAATATTCAATTTTGATATTAAACGACAATTTATTTGATTGGTCAACAGCTGATTGTCTTATGGTCGGATCAACTAATTGTTTGTTTATATTTTCATAAAATTTTATTAAAGCAAATTTTATTCTTTATTGTACACAAAAGGTTATTAAAATGTAAAAACAAACATAGTAGTGCACAACTTTAGCTATAATATAATATATATGGTATTTTTAATTGACTTCAAAAAGGAAGAAATATAAAATTTGATAACTTATTTTGCGTATATTATAACCCTTAACTCTTACATGTATTTAACAATCGATACAGTTTACATCCGTACTAATCTCATACAAATTTTGTCAAACTTGAGGTTAGTTTAAATAAAAAGAATATTTGTCATCAATTATAATTATCATTGTTTTAACATTTCGCCGATAATATTTTGATTACAACGAATAAATGAATGGATTCGTTTTGATTCCTACGTGGATTCATTTCTGGAATGAAGTCTTATATTTATTTGTGAAACATTTCTGACTTCCAGAGTAAACCGATAGAGCGAGCATGTGTGATCGGCGCCGGGTACTCAGGTCTGGCTGTCGCCAGATACCTTCAGGAGTACGGCGTCAACTACACGGTGTTCGAAGCATCTCGACATGTCGGCGGTACGTGGAGATTCGACCCTCATGTCGGTACCGATGAAGACGGTCTGCCGCTCTTCACCAGCATGTATAAGAATTTAAGGTACGTATCTGAAAAACTATATGATTTAACTAGTGAATCAGTGTGCGTAAAGTTGGAATATGACCTATTCGCGTATCAAATTTCATTCAAATTTGTTCGTCCAGTTAAATCTGATTGAGTAATATACAAACATCGCTTTTAAATTTCTGAATATTTACAACTGCTTTTTTGAAATAAGATGATCACCGAAATTAAAATATGAAGTGAGTAAAATATTTAGTGGTAGATTTATGTGCACAATATTTTATGGTTAACATTAGGGTTCGCTATAAGAGCACTTTACAAATAAGTCTTCAGGAATACTGAAGATTGTTTAAATATTTTTGAAAAACAATAGATAATACTGTCTGTATTACACATGTATTATAACAAAAGATAATACAGACATTGCCAGATTTCAATAACAAAACATAAATGTTATATAGCATGAGGATCAGTTTAATTCATTAGTATTTTTTGTGACTCATTTGGTTTCGAGTTAATGGAAAATCTGATTTCATTGGGAAAACCGAACTGTGTTGACAATAATTGTAGATTACGTACAAGAGTTTTATAATGAGGATATTTGGCCGTCCATCATATTGTTCAGGCAAAACTTTATACTCGTTTGTTATCTTCTTAATATCAAGAGTGATTATTAGGTTATTATTAGCCTACTCATAATATATAAAAATTATATATAAATTCTTACATGCAATATAATTTATTAATTATCTTTATCTAGATTAAATTAACTATGCAATGTATTAATTATTGAATGGAGTCATCATCGTAATATGTTCTTTTTTTGTAAATTGTAAAAAAATATTCTTTTTTTATTATTGTTCTCGATATAGTTTGAATTACATCGAGTGGAAACTTATAAATAAGTGTTATATGTTTTTTTTTAATAGGGATTATTAAAATTATATTTATTGCCCTTGTCCTATATATATTTATACCTGTGCATAAAATAATCGTAGTCATTTCTATAAAATTCGCATTTTAAAATTAATATTATAATACATAATATTTTTATTTGTGCAGTATATTAGTGAAATCGCGGATATTAGATAATTATACTTTCTGAGATTACAGCAAAATAACTGGTTTTTGGTTGGTTATGAAATATTCATCATAATGAGGACCAGTTTATATTTCTGGTTTGTCTCATTCATATCACTGTCGTGAATTACTGTTAAGGATATACTGTGTCAAATATATATTAATAGTATAATTATATATATGTTTCTAAAATAAGATGACAAGTTGAAAGATCAGTGAATGGCTCATTCAATTAGAAAAACCAATTGGTTGGTGAATTTATAAATTAAGAAAATGACCATAATGTGAATTGTGGTTAGGTAAATTATTGTTATAGTAAATCGACAAAAGCAGAGTTGAATGTAAATATAGGACATATTAGCAGTATCCGTTTCTACATCCGCGTAACTGTCCATAGGAAATATTAGCTGTACTTCATCTACGTAACTTGCATATATGAATTTATCGGGATGTTTTCTTCTAAATTAAATATTTCAAGTCATGTGGTCTCAGCACAGAATGAGCCATCTCTTCCTTCCCCGTGGTTGTCGTAAGAGTGGACTAAGGGATTTAAATGGGCAAGGGATGGGCAGCAAGCTTTTAAAATATCACCAAAACCTAATTGCGGTTGCCAACCAGACAAGCGTGGCAACTACTGGCAAAACCTCCCTTATAGGGGAGGTCTATGTTCAGTATGGACAGTTAACAGTTGGCATGGTATGGCAAATATCTTATGTAATCAATAATAACTATCTATCACGCAAAATTGTATGGAAAATTTGACTCGTTTTTCTCGAAGCATTCGTATGAAGACATTCTATCTATATAATCTAAGGGTGTGAACTAGTCGAAGTAGTAACAAACGAGGTCTATGTTCCGCAGTGGATAGTTGATAATGTAATAACACATACATACGTAGTATTTATTCAAAATCTTAGAAAACAGCTTCTACTAGTTTATATGTAATTAGATACTTAGTTAATATAATGAATATTCATGTACAATCTACGTTTATGAAGTAGGTACAGCTAATTACGATCAAATTAAAACGTTACCGGTAAATCTTTAATAATTGCTCGTATGTTGTTCTGCCGTGATTTGATTCATTAACAACTGATTCGAAACAGTGTCTTTAGTAGCGTAGCGTTTAACTGAAGCGTTCATTATTATGTACTTGTTTTACCCATGACCTCTTCGTATATAAATGGTAGCTTATTTAATACTTTATATCAAATAATACGTACATATTTTACATGTCATAATGATTAATTAGCTATATAAAATAATTTTAAAATTAATCGTCTGGTTTTGTTTTCATATTCAGGCTAATTTAGTTATTATATATAATGACTAAATTAGTCAATTTAAATTATCCAGACAATAGTGATAAATTATTCATTTTATCTCGATATGATTTATAATGGCAGGTCAAAGTAAGTCAATGTGACTTTTTCTTTTAACCAACTTCAAAAAGAAATAGGTTCTCAATTCGGTTCTATTTTTTATATTTTTCCCCTTATAATTCTGTCAGTTCTAAACCGATTTGGAAAATTCTATTTTTATCTGAAAGGATGTACTTAGAGATTAGTCCCATAGAAATTTTACCAAAATCTGTTCAATAATGTAGGTTTTAGATCAACATGACTGGTTGTGTCACAATTGAATACGGGTTTTTTGTGGGGTTTGTGGTGGGGTTTAATTATAATTTAATTAATTATATTTTGTGTTATGGCTAGTTATGAGTTAAATTATTATCTATGACAATGTTAATTAACGGGAAATTATTATCTACAGTGAATTTAATTATAATATTTTGAAAAACTATCATTATGTAATTTTATTTTAATTTTATAGTGTTTAAAAAATAAGCATAATGTACGTGTAGCAAACACGTATAGTTATGCTTAAGAATAATTGAAATAAAGGTAATAATCTTTATTTACACTTATTACTTTATCCCAGTCTTTTAAGATATTATATAAAATAGCTAGTTAATGTGATTAATTAATTACTTTCGCTGTAACACATATAAAATTTAATGACGATTGTTGTCAAGAGGTAACAAAAAACAAATAAACTAACAAACTTTCCCATTTATAATGTTTTTAAGATGTAGGTCTGTATAGATATTATATATAGTATAAATGTGTGCAGATATTGTAAATGAGTTCGAATACGTATTTTCTGAAAGTAACAGGCACGCTTGAATGGAATAGAGGAAATGTAAGACTTCCTATTAGATAATATACTTATTACATGAAGATGTCAACCCAGAACAAAACGCTATGTTTTTATAGTTTATTATTATTATGTCAATCGTTAACTGACCACTGCTGGGCATAGGCCTTTCCCATGTTTTGCCAATAGTTGCCACGCTTTTTTAAAAATTTTATTAAATTTTATGAGTGGAACTATGCTTGTACTCAAGATCTGAATTCCCAATTATGTATATAGGTATGTAAATATGTATGGATCCATAGCACATTTACATATATACATAATTGAATAACCGGAAATTTTAGCGAATGGGGTGTTTAATACTTTTTAATACGTTTTTAAGAAATTTACATCGTGCTTTACTTAAACGTATAAATATTTATTGCTTATTTATGTCATGTTTTATAAAGGTTTGCTCAGAAGAAGACTATTGTAGGTTAATAATAGAATGAATGAATGAGTACTTAGTTAGACTAGTACTTTATTTGTATTATACAATATAGGAAATAAGCAAGACAATTTACAAATACAACGATACAATTGTATAAGTACAGTAAGGCAGTCTTATTGCTGAGAGCAGTCTTTTCAAGACAACGTTAAGGTAATGGACTAATTGTTGTACAAGTAGATATGATAGTACTGTATAAATAAAAAGGTATCTTTTGCAAATTAAAAATATATAAAAATTAAAAATATATATATACATTAATCAAATAAAATTATATAATCCCATGCATATACATATGTTAAATACCTAATACTAGGATATATATTAATAGAAATAGAATAGAATCTGAGAGGATATATTTACAAATTGGTCTCGTCAATATCCGTTGAATGGATTAGTATTTTAATTAAAATAACTGGTTTTTATGTAGCAAGTTGAAGTCATTTGTGGAACACAATTTTTAATTATATTGCATACACTTGTTTTCATTTTAATAAGTCTGTAACGATTCCCAAACTATTTTTTTTAATATACAATATAAAATTTAATAATTTTAGATAAAAATTAAGAAAGCTAACCAATAATAAGCGGTTTACTTCTAAATCAATGTTCTATATTTTGTTTAGAAAAATTTAATGATAGTGATTCTCCACATAAACCACATTGATATAGTGATATATAGACATTAGACAAGAATTAAGTATCTATATATAGAAAACTCTATGACACACGTACAATCAATGACAAATGATGCTATAAAATACAAGTCACGTAATACGTAAATTTAAGAACAATTGTACTATGTTAAATGTAGTTATGATATTAGGTTGTGTCTGTAAATTTTATTATATATTGTCTCCAAAGTATTAACAGAGATGTTATAAGAACAATAAGAACGAAATCTAAGTCCAGACGCATGAGAATCATGGGCAGCACTGTATATTCAGCGATTCATTGTGTTGGAATCTGGATATTTTCTGTAATGTAAAATTATCATTATATCGGTCGGAGATGTTCTAATTCATTGGGACAAAATATTCAAGTATTTTTTTATATATTACGTGTTTTCAGGACAAATACTCCACGGCACACCATGGAATTCAGTGGGTTTCCGTTTCCGGAGGATACCCCGTCATATCCTACAGGAACGTGTTTTTATAAATATTTAAAGCTTTTTACCAAAAAATTCGACCTCATAAAATTTATACAGGTAATTAATATTTATTATACTTACTAATGTATAAATAAGATTTTTATTGTTCAATATATATTAATTTTAAATCTATACTACTATTATAAACATCTAACATTTTATTGTTTATGTTGGATAATTAAAAGATAACTCGATTTTAAAAATTCTTTTACCTATAGAAAGCTACATTATAAGCGAGTAACATAGGCTTAGATTATATAGATAGAGCATCGAGCCTAAAAAATGAGTCAACTTTTTGTCATCTAATTGCCAAATTAGCTGACGCGTTTTTTTTATTTGTGTTCTACATATACCATATACTTACTCATAAAATATATCTTGACGTATTATTTAATAAATAAAGTAAGTGTTTACGCATTAAAAGATGCAGAAATTATAAGATAAAAAATACATATAAAAGTTATAGAGGAATCACTCATAACTATTTATCATGTAAAATTGTATGAAAAATTGGACCCGTTTTTCTCGAATCATTTCTATGGAGACACTATTTATATAATCTAAGGCTATAGGATACAATATCAGCGAGTAACATAGCCTATATTATTTCTAAAAGTTCTGTCTGGGTAGATAAACGGGTAGATGGACGACTTAGCACGGATGTACGAATCCGGCCGGATCATTAGTATAGAATACGAGTATAATCCACACTGAAACAGTCAAGTGTATCACAGTTGCACTATCAAAGCAACGTAATCAAAGTTGTAGCGGAAGACACGTACCCAAGTGTATAAGAGATTTCCACACACATATGGTCATTAAATCTTGATATATTCCTTCATTGTTCACAGACGCAGTAGGAAAATGAATAAATTGTTATTCAGATAGTTATTCTAAGATTAAATGTTTACAATATACATATGTATGTTTAGTAGTTTACAGATAATGGCTAAATGTATAAAGAGCATAACGTACTTATCTACTATGTTATATATTATTAGCAATGAGACTTTGTAATAGGTGAAAATGTAACAGTAATCCCGCTTGCGCTAAGCAAGCAGATTAATTAGCCCATCGTGTGGTAATTAGACCTTTCCCCCTTTAATATTAGCTTAATTATTATTCAAATTTTTATTTTTTTTTTGTTTAAATTAAGTATATAATAAATGATTATTTTTTTTCACAGTTGCGAAGCTACGTGACATCAATAAAAAGGGCAAATGATAGATGGAACGTGACATACATGAGAACCGACACCAGGGATAACCACACAGAAGAGTGTGACTTCGTAGTTGTTTCTACCGGGGAATACAGTAACCCAGTTTGGCCGAAATTCGAAGGACAAAGCACATTTAAAGGTATTAAAAGTCGTCATTATTATATCTTACTACTTTCTCTGGCTTTGTTCGCATGATACTACAATTAGGAATAAATATCGTATTATATGTATGTTAATTTAGGGCGTGGTCTATTTGTGCATCAAATATTAAGATGTATTCAACTGTCCATAATTAAGTAACAAACATCCAAACATAATAACTTAATCTCAATACGTTCTCGTGAGATAATTACTATAAAAGTCTATGTAAGTAGGTATATGTTTCGTTACAACACTGATCGGTTATGTGATGCGTATTGCAATTATTTTAATTAATGCTTACATTATATTATTATATTAATATGGCGCATCTAGTTAGGTATTAAGTTAGTGTTGAGTCTTAAGAATAAGGATTCATTTTCATTTAATGGTTCCGTAAAAAAGCTTTAAAAGAATGCTTATCATTTAGACTCCATGTTGTATATTAAATAAAAATTACAGGCAACATCATACACAGTCACGACTACAAAGAGCCAGAAGCGTATACAAACCGTCGTGTGCTTCTCGTGGGAGCCGGTCCATCGGGGCTTGATTTGGCTATACACTTGTCAAACATAACTTCCAAACTGGTCCACAGCCATCATTTAACATACAACCAGCCAGATTTTTCAGACAGCTACATCAAGAAACCAGATATAAAGTCATTTACAACGAGTGGAGTTATTTTTCAAGACGATACTTACGAGGATGTCGATGACGTGATATTTTGTACAGGTATTTATTTAATATCATAGCCATATTTGTACCAGCCGTTAATTATCCATTGCTGAACATAGCTTCCCCCATAAGATGGATTTTTCCAGTAGTTACCACGCTTGGCTGGCGAATTGGCAACCGCAATTTGGCTTTTGGTGATGTTTTAAGAGGGACACTGTTGCCCATCCCTCCATATAAGCTCCCTTAGTAACCTCTTACGACATTCACGGGAAAGGAAGGGGTGGCCTATTCTATGCCGGGATCTAAGAGTACACGAATCATAACCATAGCTATAACAAACCATTAATACTATCATTTCCAAGGGGAAGTGCGTGGAGGTCCACCTGATATATTGCTAGCAATGGGGCTGTTAGATCTCATTACTAATAATGCCTTTCCCTCCATCTACTAATGTTGAACTACTTGACAAGGGTCTCTTTTCATAAAAGAACGACATACGCCTATTGTTACCTACAAAGTGAAGAAGGGACTGAGGGGTTATTAGCGATGTCTAGTAGTCAATTCTTGCTGAATTCACATCGATAGCTCCTCTACTTGACTTCATCCTCATTTATCGTGGGGTGAATATATTCACCAATTAAAAGAATTATTATCACGATGTAAGAAACTTTGGGACTGATTACTTTCTCGTGAAATGTCCGTTGGATAATTGGTAGGGAAGAGTTCTTTAGACTGTGCTGTATTTAATGTTATACTAGCAGCACAGACTTTCCTATATTTTGCATTATTCCCATCTCATTTCCATCACTCATTCCCATCCCCTAGAGCATAGACAAGCAACAAAAGAATTATTAACAGATATGTTTTCACTGAATGCTGATAAGACAACAATTGTCGGTCATATATGAGTCTAATACTTATATTTTCGGAGAAGTATTATTTATAAGTAATATTATTGATACGTTTCAGGGTACGAACTGGCTCTTCCGTTTTTGGACGAAAACACAGGAGTAACGAAGACTGGCAAGTTTGTTCTGCCACTGTACCAGGATATAGTTAACATACGGTATCCAACTATGGCGTTCGTAGGCATCTCGAAAAAAATTATTAATAGAGTACTCGATGCTCAGGTAAATATTTCTTTATGATACTTCGAATGGCAAATGTGCTGATGGCTCACCAGATAGAAAGTGGTGTAATGCCCATGGTTTTTTCTATTTAGGGTTCCCGTAATTGATAACGATCTCACCCGATAGAAAGCGATAATGGTACACTTAATGCGTTGCCATTCCTGAAGACGTTCGACATTAGGCCTTCGTATTCTGTAATTTCACCTCCATAGCCCACCTTTTAAACTGAAACAGCAATGCAAGCACAGTTGGTTCACTGCAGCAAACTTATCTATACTAATCTATTTATAAATAACTTGAACTTATAAAGACTTTTTAAATCTAAGAAAATTAAGTCAATTTATAAAAAAAGCTAACATCATACATAATAAGTTAGCGCAACGAAAAAGTGATTACTATTAGAAAAAAAAAAACCATTAGGCTCTACCTCTAATGGTTTTTTTTATAACTATAAATATTTAGTGTATTTCGTGATATATTTATTACTGCGATGTTACCACTTTTCATTAGGTAGACTATTCACTTATTTGCTATTGCAAAAATAAAATCTAAGCAATAGAAATGTATTACTTTAAGTTTTATATTATTCGAAATTGTTTTAGGCACAATATACAGCCTTATTAGCAGCGGGTAAATTTGAACTTCCTCATCAGAACGACATGTTGAAAACATGGCTCAGTCGTGCGCACGCGCTGCAGGCGAGGGGGAAGAGAATTGTTGACATCAACGCCATTGGCGAAGCTATGGTAAGAAATACAATGTATTAGACAACACTAATAAGAAACACACTTAGACAAGGTACAAACGAATCTATCGAAAGAATTAAGTCAGTGCTCACATGAGAAAGAAGACAGTTCATACTGCCATCTCAATCTATCTTATGGGCTCGCTAGTGACGTTTCTATCCATAGATTCGTTTGTACTATGTCTAAGAGGGTTAAGGAGATAAATAATAAAACCACATAAACTACAAAATGCATGTGATCATTTGTGAATAATATTACAAACGAAGATGGATTTTTTTTAAACGACTTCAAAAGTGTTCTCAATTCGATTATACTTTTTTTACACAATATTTTAAATTACCTCTGAACTGATTTGGATGCTTCTTAAATAATAAGTTTCAGTCTTCAATACTAACAGGTTAAAATATTTTTGTTATTTTTTAATCGAAAGGGGTTACTATCGCGTTGGTATAATATTTTGTTAAAATTGAAATCGTAGAGTTTTGTAAGACAGAAACATAAGTGAGTACCTAGGTATTTTTTTTTTCAATGAACGATAATAGAATGGCTACCCCGCCTGCGCTATCAGTATACGCTGGCAGGGCACCAGTGAGAGATGATAGGTGATCATGAAAGCAGGTCAGTTAGCCCATCGTGACGAATTTCACTATAATTGACCACGATGATTTCCAGGAGGAACCACGTGGAGGTCAAGCTGACGGGGTGTATTGCTACCAATGGGGCAGTTTGTTAGTAATGGCGTCTCCATTACTAACAATTCCTTTCTCTCCTACCTAGATATATTTGAATATAGTACGAATATAACGAACTAAATACTAAAATATTTACAGGATCAATATTTCGGGAATTTGACCAGAGAAGCAGGAGTGACGAGGGCGCCTCCGGTCTTGACTGAAATTAGGGACTTCAACGCCGTGAACCGATTGGAGGATTTAATGAATTACAGAGAATACGATTATTACATCACAGACGAATATCACTTCGCCCGGTCGTACAATCCTAGGATGGGCGTACCTTGTCCTATTGATATTGAATGATTATAATATTTATAATCTAAGCCATTATAAATTATGCATATCTATATATATTGTACACATTTTAAGCGCCAATTTTATTTATGACAAACTTTTTTTTTAAATAAGTATCTGTTATGTCACAATATAATATAATAAAATTGCCTAACACATTGTAGTATTTGTGAATAATATTTTATTTTTTGCGTTTTTTTGTTTATTCTTGTTATAGTGACAAATAAGCTGACGGCCCACCTGATAGATAGATTCCTTTGAACAGTTTATATAGTTTTTTATGGAAATAATCTATTATTTTAATAAAGTTATATTTTTAATGGGTGCAAATGGAATGGTAAACCTGTCTGCGCTGGCAAGGCGCACGTGAGAAATGACAGTTGAGTATGAAAACAGTAGTTAACATGATGAATTCCAGAAACTGCTCGGAGGTTTATTTGAAAGTGTATTATGTTAGCAATAGGGCTATTAGATGAATTAGGCATATTAGCAGTATTAAGACAATCCCAGCTAGATGGAATAACACCTCAAATTTGTTGTAGGTAGTCAATAGATATTATTGTAGTCTACAGGGAAGGCCTAAGTTCAACAGTAGACTACGATGGTAGAAATTTTGTGCTTAGTTTAGTTTTTAACTCGACCAACAGAATAAATTATTGAAATTGTAAGATTAAAACAAGCTAATGGATAATCAAAAGACCTTATCGGTACCGAACTTTTTTAAATTGTTATTACTTTCTGTATGTTGGTACAATACTTTGACTAGACAATAATTTATGACGCTTATATTAATTTATGACGAATATAATAGAAAATAATAAAAGTGACGCTACAAATATCTACAGTAATACAAATAGTATACTTACTATAATCGAAAATAGATTAGTAACTTTTTTAAATGTGTGCAGGACATGAATATTATTTGTTTTTTAAGGTGCTATGGCTGTATTTTTTTTATACAACTTATTTTAAGTTGCATAAAAGCAAACAAGCTGACGGCCCACTTGATGGAAAGCGATAACTGTCGCCTATAGACATGAGCAGTACCACGGACATAACAGAGTATACTGTTTCGCCCATGATACCCCCCATACGTTGCAATTCCTGAGGACTAAGGTATTATTCCTCGCTACCCTGTAAATTCACTGCCATATCTCACAACACAACTGCTTCACGGTAGAAACACGAATAGGACAGAGGTGCTCAAGCAAACGACTTTTGTACAAAATCTTCTTCTAGTAAATTATGGAATATGACGTATTACGTTATTAATAGAAATGTAATAATAATTATAAAGTACGTGTAATATCAAATGTTTAATAAATGTTTTTCTATTTCTATTTTTTTTATTAATAATAATTATTGGTTTTAATATAATAATAGGTGCCTAATTGATAATATTAACTTGTATCGTGTAAAAAGATCACATAACAAGAAATCCCTGTTATTAATGAATCATCATTTGTGAAAATAAAGAAATAAAAAAACAGAAAGACTTGTTGAATTTAATCTCTTAATAAAAAATATATAAATAGAATACTTTGTAAACAATCAGACATTGTGATATTAAATATGTCAGTAGAACAAAGTTAATATTTACAGAAAACTACATTACATACGTTTAAAGTTGTGTTTGCGTGTACCTATTTAGATAGGCATAGCAACAAAATAAAATGTATATAACTTAGTATTAAGGTGTTACGTATAACTGACCTAATTGTTACCAATAATGATATGGAGCAAAAATATATAAGTTGAAAATAATGTTGGTATGTTCATTTGATTTATATCATGGTTGGTAATCACCGCTTTTAAATATAGCGTCGTATAGGATTGCTAATTGTGAAAAATTAATAAGCTTATAAGTAAAACCTCCAGACTTTTTAAGACAGAATAAGTTTTGATGTAAACCCAATAGGGTAAATATGATACCGTATGTTCACTTTAGATGTAATAATTGCATGGCAACATTCTCGATAATTCATAAAAACATTTTATTCTTGTATGTGGCAATTAATAATTTTAATTGGAGGTAGAAAGATAAAAAAAAAGGTTGTTGTTGTCTGCTCTAAAATACAGAAACAGAATATGTCGTTGTCGCTCATAAAGTATTCAATAAGATTTAATTTCAAAATCGTGAGACTTTAATTTTAGAATTTAATATTTTTGTTTTATTAAATAAACTACGCAAAAGATAATTTCTCGTATCGTTAAAAAGACATTTTCAAGATTAAAACGTCTATCGGAGGATTCAAAATCGAAATCCTTAGTTCTTATAACATTTACGAGGTAATCTCAGGTAACTTTTGCATGCTTTAGGGAACTGAGTGATTTGAGTATGTTATAAAAGGAATTTACGCTAATCAAAGAGTAAATCACTTGAATTAAGTTTGAATCTAGGTAATTTACTAGTACTTTTAAAATAACTTGTCGGTTTTCGCATTCTTGGATCTATATAAAAAACTTGTCGTACATACAGTCCACTTGTATTCTCGCAAATCGTACATCTAATTTTTCAAACATGGTTGTGAAGAAATTTAATGTTTATATGTAATAAAAATCTTTGTTCTAATCAATTAATCTATTAACGCACAACCTAAGCTGTCGGGAATATAAAAAAAAAATATTCTAAATTTCTTGTTATTTTCTTGCATACAGAATTTCCCAAAACTTCCACAGAAACGGCAGTAAACAGACTTCGTGACAGTAGACAGACAGGCGTGAATTTACTGAGTCCTCAGGAATGGCAACGCATGGGGGTATCATGGGCGAAACAGTATACTCTGTTATGTTCATGGTGCTGCTCATGTTTATAGGCGACGGTTACCACTTTCCATCAGGTGGGCCGTCAGCTTGTTTGCCATTCTAAGTTGTATAAAAAAAAAAAAACTTCACAGGGGTGTTTGTTGAGAAATAATTAACTTAGTAATATTAATAAAACCTTTATTTCCAAACTAATTTATACATTTTATCTTAAAGTATAATGTTAAACTATTTACAATATGTACCGACGTTCGGTATGTCATACGATATAGGCCTTATCCAAAGCTTTCCACTGATTTCTATCAGCTACCACTCGTAGCCAAAGGGGGCCTAGGGTCACTTTACAGTCGTCTTCCCATCTTCGCACTTTACGACCTCGGCTCTTCAAACTATTTCTCAACCTTCATACCAGATTCATACTTGTTTACTCCAATTTTCATATTTACGGAGCATATACCTAGTCCATCTCCATTTGAGATAGTCTACACGTAAAAGGATATCTTTAATTTTTTGTTTTAAGTCTAATGTTTGACTTTGTTTTTTAACTTTAATCCTCTGCTCTTGTCCATGACTTTTTTGCGATTTGTAACTTTGTCCCTGTAACTTTTAGTCAGCGTCTAGATTTCGGGACCGCATGTATATGTTGTCACATTAATATAATAATATATGAGGCAGGGGAGAATATAGGTACCAACAGTTTTTTTTCTTAATCTTAAGAAAAAAAAAACTATTAATACCTAGTTCCTTGCTTTTCATAATTACTCTTTAAGCCCAAAATTTTTTCCATCCAGTAGCAATTCTTTTGTCTATTTCTTTGACTTGGCCTAGATATACATACTCCATTACACATTCCAGTTTTATTCCATCTATTTTTATGTCTACTGCTGTGAAATTAGTCATTAGTTAGAGTTTGTACCATGGATTCCAAAACTTTTGGATTTTCCTCCATTATAATTAGGTTATCAGCAAATCTTATATTAGTCACGCTTCGTTTATGTTTAGTCCCAAATGATTCCATTCCAATTTCCTAAACATTTGTTATAGCACTGATGAAAACAGTTACGACGAGAGTGGATCGCTGAGTCGATCGAGAGTAATAATAAAAATAGTAGTGTTTTTATTTATTATAAATAATAATTACAACATACAAATACTCAGTATTCACGTCTACTCCTCTACAGTTCTGACGAATGTTTCATTGTCTAGAACACGGTACGTGTAATTTCTGTATGTATAGAGATTTTCTAGCTTAGCTTCAGTGTCGCACGTGCGTATTTTGAACATAACTGGTGGTACTCTCTCTATGCCGGATTCTTTTGTTAACTCGGCATAATAATCATCCTGCAAATGAAAAGTATATTTTTATGAAGCTTAGAATATATAAGCAAGTTGACGGCTCACCTAATGGAAAGTGGTAATCATCACCTAGACATAAACAGTCCCTTGGACACCACATAATACAGTGGTACCTATTGCTCGTATGTTGCCGTTCCTGAAGAGTAATGTAATTTTTTTTAATGGATGATAATGGAATGGTAAATTCGCTTGTGCTAATGCTATACGCTGGGGGGGGGGACCAGTAAGGCAAGTTAGTTAGCCCATAGTGATAAATACAGCTGGATTTCAGCATGATGGTTTCCAGGGAGGACCACATGGAGATCGACATACCATTGTTATCAATCCTCTCCCCCCTTCCCCCAGGAGTAAAGTATTATGCCTTTATATCCTGTAATTTCACTGTTATAATTTATATTTTGAACCTAACTACAGTATTGAAAGTGCAGCTGCTTCACAGCCGATACAAATGGGAGGTCAGTACCCTTAAAGATAACTTTTGTATGTATAAAGTCTTTCTTTGGAAAAATATCCACAATTATAATTCTTAATGAAATATTGAGACGCATTTTAACTGATATTTTTTAATAAGTATTTTTTATAAAATCATAATATAAGTGGATTGGTTCTTTAAGTTTTAAAGTGTGCACACATACCTCTTTCTCACCCAAGAAATGTATGTGTGAGAGCGGTTTCCCTTGTGATAGTAGAGCATTTAAGCGCTGCTGCCAATCTAGCGTCATATCTTCATGTGAAGGAAGGGTAAAATTTCCTTTAATGAGCGCAGTAGCATACCTTGCCTGGGAATAACAATTTAAATTATTTTATGTGTACACTTATCTAACTATTCGTAAAGATGTTTAGAAGTTGGTTAGTTAATTATGCTTAAACTTTAAAGTTAAAATGGGTGAACAGATTCGTGTTATGGTTCTTATAAAAACGGCCACGACTGACTATTTCCATAACAGCCATAACAAGAAGTTGGCATGAATTTGTGGTTTTACAGTGACCACAACTTTTTGTGTTTTTGGTCATCGAACGTAACATATATAAAAAATAAACATATGTTTTAAAAATAAAGTTTATTTTAGTCAAAAACTTTCGGGTTTTCTATATCAAAAAATGGCAATAATAAAAATCGGGTACAATTTACCTGTAACCGCATCGCATTAAGACACGAAAATTAATAGATTTTTTTTAATCAAATCTTAAGCGTTTTTAACTTTTTTTTAACTTACTTGAGCATCCAATGCAACAACAAGACAAGCTCGTACGACCAGTCCCATAATCACCATTGTGGGTTGATTTATATTCACCATGTACTTATATAGCGGTGCCACACTCTGCTTTGCCATCTCTAATCCACATGACTTGTCTAAAAATGGGTAGTCGTATTCATATCCTGTAAACAAATACTGAGTACAGCATGGCGGATATTTCTATCTTCTCCTTTCATTATCATTATTATAATCATCATCCCTTAATGGTCCACTGCTGAACATAAGCCTCCCCCTTTGGGGCAGTTGCTAGTAGTTGCTTTACTTTGTGCGCTTAGGCTTTAGAGATGTTTTAAGAGGGAAACTGCTGCCCATCCTCGCCCTCACTTAGTCGCCTCTTATGACGCCCACGAAAAAGAAAGGAGTGGCCTATTCTATGTGTGTCTAAGTGAACGGGACCACACGGACATCCTTGTATTTAGTGATGATAAAATGGTTTAAAGTTTCAAAAATTTTCAGAGGTTTTATAAATTGTTTTACAGATTACTGTTTTAGCTAAGGCTTCAAACCAACTCATCCTCACCGTAACATTGCAATATATACATATAATACAAAATTTCATCTTGAATGAATATCAACAAATGCTTAAAAATTGGTTAAAAATGAATTGGAAAGATGATCAGAAAATAATATGTATAATAGTTACACAAGCTTACCAGTACAATAAATAACATCATCGAACTCCTCAAAAGTGCCATCAACGAAGAAGGCTCCAGTTTCATTGAATTCTTTCACATCTGGTTTTCTTACATATTGAGTAGGAAATGGTGTCCTAAAGTTTACAACTGAATGGTGACTATGCAATAGCCGTTTGCTGACGTCGCATACTTCCAGGCCTATATCCATCCCAGAGGGCCCAGAGCCTATGACGAGGACTCGTCGATTTTTATATCCATCTGGTACCCTGTAGTCGTGACTGTGGATTATTGTGCCTAAAATGTAAATATGTGTATGTAAGTATATAAAAGAAAAACTAGTGTACTGAGTGTACCGTATGTTTATTTGCCACCTTTGTTGCATAAAAAAAATATCATAAATATAAAAGTGTAAAAGCAAAATTTTTTTTATACAATTGAGGTGGCAAACAAGCATACGGCCCACCTGATGGTAAGTGGTTACCGTAGCCTATGAACGCCTGCTATACCAGAGGTATTACGCACGCGTTGCCGATTCTGAAAAAAACCTCTTTACCCCCCTTTTAAAGAACTCCATGCTATAGTCTCTTGGGAAAACCACAGCAGGGACGTTTTCCTTGTAACCTGACTATATTGTATTGAATTTATATTTTCAGATGACTCTTTTTTTCACAATCCACTTTTAATTTCTGTGTATGTTAATATTTATTGAATGGATGAACAATATTTTTATTTTTGTAAAAAGAATTACCTTTGAAAAGTTTTTCGCCAGGTATATTTGGCATGTTAGGCTTGCTATGATGGCCAGTTCCAACAACTACAAAGTCATACTCTTCTTCAAACTCTTCTTCGCTGATCACATGCTTGTGTTTTACTTTCCATATATTATTTATCCTTTTTACAGATATCACATTGTGTAGAAACTAAAAAAGGTAATTATTAAAAAAAAAAATATTGTAGAGTATTTATATCAAGTGTTAATGGAAAGAAGTTATATCATATCTTTGAATAAATAGTATGAAACAATAGGCATCTACAATATACTTCGGATGCCTTTTAGTGATATATATACACAAAAAAAAAATTTGTCTGTTTAAATAGACTTGCAAGGATGAGATATAATCTCCAGTGTACTTCTTTTTTATTGTGTCATAATATATAACTTAAAAACACATGCTAAAATATACATGTGACAGTGCAAGAATGCATTTGTCAGATAGAAAATTACTTTTTCTAAATTTTAAACAATAAAATTATCATATTTGCATAAAAACTTAAACATAATTTTTGAACAAAATCATATATTTTATCAGAATGGCTATTATCAGCAACATGGCAAAGTGGTAAGTATCATATTGGATTAATAGAAATTACTTTCATTACTATGAGACTACCTTTATATGCTTCAATAAATCAAAATGTTCAGCATAATCTTTAATATAATCATAATACACTTGCCAACTGGGAAAAGACTGGACTTTTCGTGGTATAGGAAAACCTCGTAACTCCATTGTAGGTTTTGGTAAATTTGTCCTGAAAAATAATCAAACACATTTCATTTATTACATGACAAATATTTTATACATAATAACTTTATTAATTTATAATTTCTATATGTTATATTGTGACTAGCTCATTTAAATGCACTGAAATGATACAGGGTAATTTTTCAAGTATATAATATAAATGGATAACCAAATCTGACATGATATAAATAATGAAAAATAGTCAATGTGTTAAATTTTCAGTAAGGAAAATTAATTTATCAATAACTTATTGATACACATTTACTTTATTAAAAATAGCTTAGTGACTTCTGTGAGTTTTTTTATACAACTTAGAATGGCAAACAAGCAAGTATTCAACCTAGTGACTCTGTCATTTGCTTACTTATATATTTAGTTGCAATGACTGTATGCAACACAGTTTCAAAACTTATTATTCCTATTTATGAAAATACACCAGAGCTTTAATATTTTAAATATTGTTATGTCATCATCACAACAACACATCATTATCACTACATATTATCATTTTAACATAGAGTATGCCTGTCTCCCATTAAAGGGAGGATATTAGTCTAATACACCACCCAATTACAGGTTAATAAGGTGGATTAAAATAATTTTATTTTGAAGTTTCCTCTTCCATATAGGAAAATATGTGCTACATTTCTCTAGTTGTCACCTATGAGATTCTAAAGATAAAAAAGTGTGATGACAAGACATTTGTTGCTATGTTATATAAATATTAGATTAGCTATATAAATATATATTTATAGAGTATAATTACCGTAAATGTTTGTACATGCTGGTGTGAATTGGTAGGCCATTTTCATCTGTGCCAACTCTGGAATCATACCTCCAAGTTCCACCAACATATTTGGTAGCTTCCAGAATAGTGAATGGAATGCCTTCTTCTTTAAGGTATCTCCCTGTAGACAGTCCTGCTACACCAGCACCAATGACACATACACGTTGATTCTGATTGTTTATCTATAACAAAAAAGTTATTGTGTTGTTCATACCTTTATATTTAGTTCTTATATTTTAAATAGTTCTCAATGTATAAAATATAAGTGTAGAAATAAGCAATTATACATTATAAAATAAAAAAAAAATTAACGATTAATTATATGAAATTATAGAATTATTAGTAGTTACTAAATATACCAGCCAAAATGCAACTTTTTACAAAGTTACTGACCAGCATAATAATAGTTCTGTATAATACATTCTGCAGTATAATAGGCTTAGTAGTAGGATAATTTAATTATTTATTTATTCTTTAGTACAGGATATGTGTACAAGGCAGACTTAAGGCTTTAAGCATTCTCTCCCAGTGAACCTTAGGGCTGTGTTACAATGCTTGAATGTGGTACTACTATTAATTGATTTACATACATGCTAAACTTAACTATAGTGGCTCGTTATGAATTTATTATTGATAATTATTTATCATAATATTGGTTTTTGTAACTTCGTTCTTTATGTTTACTCCGTAAGAGATGTAGTGTGAGAATATAACCATTGCAAGCTGTAAAATTACAAGTATAGAAAGTAGCTAATTTGAATCGTAGATTTCTTTGTTAGGTATGTTCTTAGGTTAGGTATAACAATTATCTGAAAGTGCAGATAATTTATTTTAAGGAACGAAAATTATTTTGTTTCATTGCAATTTTCAAACTTGGATATTTTTGGAAAACAATATGCTCTCAGATTATTACATTCAACAGCACTGCACAACCCCATTTACTTCGTAATTTGCTAACTAACAATAATAATAAAATGTTTCAAAATAATTAAAATAAATAAAAATTAAAAATAACAAATTAAATATCAGTCAGTAAAAAAGGAATGTCATAAAAATGTCATTGTTAATGATATGTCAATGTCAAGAGGACTTTTCATATTAAGTAGTTTATTGTTAACAGCACAGGCAAAAGTACAATACATAAACTTGACATTATTGTAATTTCGTGAATCTTTATCTATAAAATAAAAAACTAGATCTATGGATACGAATGATCGTATACTTACCATTGTTATGAGAACTTGATATTAATATATGTACACTGTATAATTTTATCATTTCCGCAATATTTAAGTTATATTAATGTTTACTTATGCAGGTGAAATTAATAAAGCGAACATCACACAACACTACTACTTTGCTGTGCATATCGTCAGGCTTTGTTCTTTGTACTGGAACGTACTTCTAAACTATCTTTTATTTATATTACTGTATATGCCACTTATAACAATACCTATTATGTAATTGCAAACTGATAAGAAATATGGAAATGAACACAATAAATTTATCAAAATGTAAAATATAATGCGATAAATGCGTTTGTTTTTAATATTTTTTTTCTTTTGTAATAAAAATTTTTAAATTTAATGATATAAAAATAAAAATCGTGTTACTTATTTAGTTGCTTATATATATATATATATATATATATATATATATATATATATATATATATATATATATATATATATATATATATATATATATATATATATATATATATATATATATATATATATATATATATTCACGTATCACTACATATGAAAGAAGTAGGTAATTATTTTACGTATAGTTCAACTATAAATACGAGTTACGATGAAAATCTTTTACATCAATAAGGTTAGGGATAAAAAAACGTCTAATTAACAACCATGTAAATATATGAGTTAGTAACTAGATATTAATTCTATTTTAGGTTTTAATATGCACTTACCGCTAAAATAACACTAAATTGGTAAAACGCACAGATTAAGAAGAAACTTCGATTCATTTTCACAGTTTTTTTAATGTAATCATTTGTAATTCACATGTATAAAGTTCTTAATATATTATAACACCATGTTAAATAAAAAAAAGTCGCGATAATATTACTTATAACTGTCAAATACCTAACATATCAATCATATTTAACCATTTGTAAATTGTGTTTAAGTATTGGTAGTAATTATACTGTTACTACATTTATTAATATTAGTTTTGATATCGAATTATGAATAATTTGTAATTAATATTCAGTTCCAAGATCAATATTCACAACAATGATGACAACCCTGCGATAAAGTCTCTTTTATATACCTACGTTTTGATTTTACACAAATATAAAATTAATCTAGAAGTACCTAATGCGAGGCAAAAATATTTTTATATTTTTGCTTAACACTAGATACTTTCAAAATAAATATATAGATATTTAATTGAAATATGTAGTGTTTTTAACAATAGTATTTTATTTTGGTGAATTTCGATATGTAATTAAGTCTTAATGGTAATCAAAAAGTTAATGAAATGATAATAATTATATTATATGGCCGTGTAATCCCGGCATAGAATAGACCACCCCTTCCATTCCCGTGGGTGTCGTACAAACCGACTAAGTGAGGGCGAGGAATGGGCAGCAGCGTCCCTCTTAAAACATGTCTAAAGCCTGACTGCGATTGTCAATTCGCTTGTCAAGTGTGGCAACTACTGGCAAAACCCCCCAAGGGAGAGGTTTATGTTCCGCACTGGACAGTTAAAGGCTGATATGATGATGACTTATATTATTTAAGAAAAAGATAAGAATTTTTGCCATAGAAGAACAGTTACTTTAGTCATGAGAAATTTCATGATACCAATATGGGTGTAAACATTGTCGAATGCAAAAGACATCGTAGAATATACTGCGCTGGCCATTACTCGATATCCGCTCCTATTTGTGCTATTCTCGGGAATAGCAGGTAGAGGAGCGAATATTGAATTAATTTTGTTCAATACCTTGTTCTTCATGATAGTAAAGACTTTGAAAAAATACTATAATGCAATAAATTTTTCCATTGATTATGGATAAAATATAGTACCTATAAATTACCAATAAATATTGAATCAAGTAGTACCTCTGGAAACCTCCAATTTCATGGATCTTTTCATGACTATCATTTGTCACTACCGCGGCTAGTCTCAAATATCTAGCTTCAATCTTATATCAAAGAAACTTACGGTTAAAACTTATGATGTTATACTGATACAGGAGATTTGTTCCATATACTTCTGCTTTGCTTATTTGTGGTAGCGATAACCATAAAATTGGATTCTTTGTCTTGGTTTTATCTTTATAATGCGTTAAAAGACCACGCCTGTCCTATATTTCAATAACACTTCTAGTGCTACATATGTATACTGTTTATCGATTAAATAAATTGACTCTTCCAACAAATGAACATTAATTTTCAATATAAGCGGAACAACATTTTTTTCTTTTTAAACTTAGCTGTTCTTAATAAGTTTTTTTTTTAATGTGTGCGTATATAAACAAATGGCTTTTATTGAACTAAATATGATATAAGAGTGTATGGGTCATGGTCATTAGTAGATATAGTACATAAATACAGTATAAAGAACTATTTAATACTCATTTTTTATTTTGGCATCGATATGTCATAGATAATTTATTAGATATCTGCCTTGCTACTACTACAATTTAAAATACAAGTTTAATTAAATAATATACTAAATATTAAGATATTTTATTTCAATTTATAATAAAAATACGAGATTTTTAATAAGTACGAGTACTTAACTGCTTACATAAATATTAGGTAGGTAACTATATAATTGGGTCAATTGAACTATGATAATTGACCAAGTGAATAAATACATAGGTATATTGTAACAGAAGTAAACATTAAATGTGTTGTAGGTTTTCGATAAGACTTAATTTAAGAAATTTGAAATTCGAATAAGAAACCAAACAATTTAAGAAATTTGTAGAGCGATATTTATTTTTGTATTTATGTAAAAATTGTAATATACCTAGTACCTAAATAATTATTTAGTAAGTGGTTTTAGGTATAACGTATAAAATTTTATAAATATAGGTAGATACGAGTAAGGGTACACAGGCGCAAATTAGATTCAGAAGGGCCACTCGTCCCTGTCAACTGTATTATATTTTAAATTGACCATGAAAAAGTATTTTTGTGGAGACCTAATTTCATTGATATTCTTTTAGATAAGTATATTTTATTACATCATTACTACTATCATAATTTTACTATATTTTTTCTGTTTACAATTGGGTTTGAAAACTTATAAAGAAAATACCACTGGGTTCTTTGTTTTAACAGTAAAAAATGATTTTTTAAAACCTGTAACTCATTTTTCGCATAATTATCAATAAAAAGAAATAAATTTATGTATAAAATATCTCAAACATAAAAGTTACGATAATCGACATTATAAATAAGAATTTAAGAATGATTTTTGATTTAAGAAACTTTTATGCCCTATTTTATTACTTACCTGTTCTGTAAAGGGGTGAAAATGTAATGATAACTCTTATTAGATGATAGGCAAAGCTGAAATTAGGTAGGTTGGTCCATCATGAATTTACTAGGGATTAATTACGATGTCGTAAAAATAATACTTACATATATACCTATTAAAATTTTGTTTATTTGCTTCAACTGTAGATATACTAGCTAATTATAGTAGATTCTGTCAATTTCAATTTTTTGGCTTTTCGTCGAAAATTCTTTTTATCTATTATTATTCAAATCTAGAAATGTGAAATTTATAACGAAAATATAATTTTTTTTACATATAGTTCATATTTAATCTAAAATATTCATACTGTACATAAGTCCAACCCTCCCTAGATTAGCCAGACGATGTAGGGGTCACGTGAATCTACGCCCATTCGCTCAATGAACTTGAAATTTCAATCTAGTCGAAGTTTTTTTATTCAGTATACTTATTTTTAATAACTTATTTGAAATTAAGTCATTAATTCGATATGGTTAAATTATTATGTATTGTTTAGTGTATATAATCGTTGCTAGGTATGCATATGCATATATTTACTCTATATTTGATAAGAGAAGATAATTTTATGTTTCAATGAACAACATATTATAAATAACTTCGTTAAAATTAAGAATGACTAAACACTAACGTGACTGATAACATTTTGCTTGTACTTGTACCCCACCAGGCTGGTGGGGCACCAGTGAAAGAAAATATCGTGACGGATTCGATGATAATTAACCAAGATGGCTTCTGATGATGATTTTCCAAGATCGAGGAACTACGTGGCGGTCGAATTGATAGGGTATATTGCTAGCAATGGAGCTGTTAGAGCTCATTACTAACAATCTTATAGCATATTCCTTTTTAATAGGCTGATGGCACATCTGCAATACTTCTGGTGTTGTGGGTGCTCATGGGCGGCGGTAGTCACTTACCATCAGGTAAGCTGCATGTTTATTTGCCCCCGTGTTATAAAAAACATCTCTCCCATCTCATTCTGGTGATGTAGTTAAGTTCTGGCGAATTCGTTATGATATAAAACTTGTTTGATGTCAATAAGAAACTCTAGACTATTTAAAATAGAATAAAGTAAAGAATATTGTAATTCTACTTACCAATAATATATAATATCTATTTTTGTTATGTATATTATCTTGTATTTGTATTATATGTGTCTATTATATTATTGAAATGAAATATCAGAAATATCACTGACGTCATTTGCACGTGCGTTCAACACACCAGAGAGCTGTGCAAATTGTCACTGATTATATGGAATGCGAGCAGATTCCACACTAACACGACAAAGGGATGCTTGCTGTATTAAATTTCATATTAATTGATAAATACTTGACCATTGGTGTGTGTAATTGAATGTTCATACACC